TTGATAAAATTTTCTCTTTGGATGTCAATAAGTGAAAATTTTCTTTAATCGGGTCTTTGGTAAACATGTTTGTACTACCATTTTGAATCTTCTGGAATTTAGTTGAAAATAAAAATCCACATTTCAACGTTTTTGCATCTCTTGGAAGTTGTTAGGCTCGAAGATAGCGGAAATCGATTTTGAAACATGCTTGATAATAATCTAGATTTAACAGATTTTTTTTCTGCCAATGTCAAAAATTACAAATTTTGTTGAATTAGGTCCTTGCTAAAAATGTCTACAGAACCTTGATCGAAACATCTTTTTAGACTAAAAATAGAAAATTCATATTTCAGCGTATTTTCAAATTTATGGAAGCTCCAGGGAGATTGACAATTTATTTTTAACAAAATTTTTCTCTTCTTTTTGGTTCTAGTTCCGATCTTTCTATAAGCGGTTTGACTATTTCGGAGTTTAGCAAAAAGTGAAAAATCCACATTTCAAAGTTTTTACGGTTTTATTAAAGTTCTTATAGTCGAAGACAGTAAAAGTCGATATTGGGTTCAACTTGATAATATACATAGATTTGTCAAAATTTTTCTCTTTGGATGTCAATACGTGAAAATTTTCTTTTCTGCTCTTTAATAAACATGTCTGTAGAAACTTGACCAAGTATTTTTTTGCTTCTTCGTCTGGTATTTTCTATTGTCAATCTGAATGTTTTGGAATTTAGTTAAAAATAAAGTCGGCATTTCAACTTTTTGCCACTTCATGGAAGTTGTTATGGTCGAAGATAGCAGAAATCAATTTTAGACGAAGCTTGATAATCTAGATTTAACAGAATTAGAAGAAATGTCAAAATTTACAAACTTTGTTAAATTGGGTCTTCGCTTAAAATGTCTCCAAAACCTTGCTTGAAGCACCTTTTTAGTTCTAGCTCTAGCAATTCTCTACTAGTTTTTGTACCTTTTGAAATTTTACTAAAAATAAAAAAATCTCTATTTCAGCGTTTTTTCAAATTTATGGAAATAAATTATTTATAAAATAAATATAAACAAAAAATGACAAATAATCTGGTGGAACAATGATATAAAGAAAAAAGTGAAAGAGAAGAAAATATCTTCTAAGACAATGAAGGGCTGGTGGGCGGCACTTACACTTGTCAAGATAAGACTGACTTTGGCAAATGATATACCTTCCAAGAAACGAGAGGGTGGGTGGGCGGGGCTAGTACCTGCTAAGATAAGACTGATTTTGCATGACATACTCTCTAAGAGATTCGACGGCGAGTGAGCGGAGATGGTACCCGCACCCTATTTTTTTTCTTAGAGGGTATGTCATTTGCTAAAGTCAATCTTATTTTGGCAGATACTAGCCCCGCCCACCCACCCTCTACCTTCTTTGAGGGTATGTCATCTGCCAAAAACAGTTTTATCTTAGCAAGTACTAACCCCACCCACCCACCCTGTATTTTCTTTGAAAGTTTGTCATTTGCCAAAATCAATCTTAGCAGGTATCAGCTCCGGCCACCCACCCTGTATTTTCTCTAAAAGTATGTCATTTGCCAAAATCACTCTTATCTTAGAAGGTACTAGCCCCGCCCACCCGCCCTCTAATTTCTTATAGGGTGTATCATTTACCACAATAGTTTCATTGGCAGTTTGAATCTTTAGGAATTTAGCTAAAAATAGAAAATTCACATTTCAGTTGCCACCTGAAATATGCGGAATCATAGACATACAAATAAAAACAGACAAATAAAAAATAGCTTGGTGGAACAATGATATAAAGAAAAAAGTGAAAGAGAAGGAAGTATCGTCTAAGAAAATAAAGGGCGGGTGGGCGGTACTAATACTTGGTAAGATAAGATTGACTTTGGCAAATCATATACCTTCTATGAAAAGAGAGGGCGGGTGGGCGGGGCTAGTACCTGCTAAGATAAGACTGATTTTGGATGACATACTCTCTAAGAGATTCGACGGCGAATGAGCGGAGCCGGTACCCGTCCCCTATTTTCTTAGAGGGTATGTCATCTGCCAAAACAGTTTTATCTTAGCAGGTACTAAGCCCACCCACCCACCCTGTATTTTCTTTGAAAGTATGTTATTTGCCAAAATCACTCTTATCTTAGCAGGTACTAGCCCCGCCCACCCGCCATTTAATTTCTTATAGGGTATATCATTTGCCAAAATAGTCTCATTGGCATTTTGAATATTTGGGAATTTAGATAAAGATAGAAAATTCGCATTTCAATCGCCAACTGAAACATGCAGAATTATAGGAATACAAATAAAAAGAGACAAATAGCCTGGTGGAACAATCATATAAAGAAAAAAGTGAAAGAGAAGAAAATAAAAGGCGGGTGGGTGGCACTTAACAGTTGTCAAGATAAGACTGGCTTTGGCAAATCATATACCTTCTATGAAAAGAGAGGGCGGGTGGGCGGGGCTAGTACCTGCTAAGATAAGATTGATTTTGCATGACATACTCTCTAAGAGATTCGACGGCGAATGAGCGGAGCTGGTACCCGTCCCCTATTCTCTTAGAGGGTATGTCATCTGCCAAAAACAGTTTTATCTTAGCAGGTACTAACCCCACCCACCCACCCTGTATTTTCTTTGAAAGTATGTTATTTGCCAAAATCAATCTTATCTTAGTAAGTCCTAGCCCCGCCCACTCGCCCTCCCTCTAATTTCTTATAGGGTGTATCATTGGCCAAAATAGTCTCATTGGCATTTTGAATCTTTGGGAATTTAGCTAAAAATAGAAAATCCACATTTCAGTCGCCAACTGAAACATGCAGAATTATAGGAATACAAATAAAAAGAGACAAATAGCCTAGTGGAACAATGGTATAAACAAGAAGTGAAAGAGAAGAAAATATTCTCTAAGAAAACAAAGGGCGAGTTGGCGGCACTAATACTTGTCAAGATAAGATTGACTTTGGCAAATGACATACCTTCCAAGAAAAGAGAGGGCGGGTGGGCGGGGCTAGTACCTGTTAAGATAAGACTGATTTTGCATGACATACTCTAAGAGAGTCGACGGCGAGTAAGCGGAACTGGTACCCGCACCCTATTTTCTTAGAGGGTATGTCATTTGCTAAAATCAATCTTATTTTGGCAGATACTAGCCCCGCCCACCCACCCTCTAGTTTCTTTAAGGGTATGTCATTTGCCAAAATCAGTTCTATTTTAGCAGGTACTAAAATTTTTGATTTGGATGTCAATAAGTGAAAATTTTCTTTAATCGGGTCTTTAGTAAACATGTCTGTAGAAACTTGGCCAAAAATTTTTTTGCTTCCACCTCTGGTATTTCCTATTACCATTCTGACCCTCTGGAATTTAGTTAAATTCCAAAATCCATATGTCAACGTTTTTGCAATCTTATGGAAGTTATTAGGGTCGAAGAAAGCAAAAAATCGATTTTATTGGACGTTGTTTGGCAATCTAGATTTAGCAAAATTTGTTTCTTCGAATGTCAAAAGTATCAATTTTGTTAAATTGGATCTTCGCTAAAAATGTTTATAGAAACTTGGTCAAGGAATTTTCTGGTTCTAGTTGTATATACTACTTGTTAAGATGAGACTAATTTTGGCAAATTATATACTCTAAGAAAATAAGGGGCGGGTACCAGTCCCGCCCACTCGCCCTCTAATTTCTTAGTGAGTATGTCATTTACTACAATCAGTCTTATTTTCGCAGATACTAGCCCCGCCCACCCGCCCTCTCTTTTCTTACAGGTTATGTCATTTGCCAAAATCAGTCTTAACTAAGCAGGTACTAGTCCCGCCCACCCACCCTGTATTTTCTTTCAAAGTATATCATTTGCCAAAATCAGTCTCATTAACGTTTTGAATCTTTCTGCATTTAGCTAAAAATAGAAAATCCACATTTCAATGATTCTGCGATCTTTTTTTAAGTATTCTTAGAATCCAGAATGGTAAAAATCGATATTGAATGGAACTTGATAATTTAGATTTGACAAAATTTTTCTCTTTGGATGTCAAAAAGTAGAAATTTTTTGTGATCGTTTATTTGCTTCAATGTTTGCAAAAATTTTGTCAAGAAAATTTGTTGGTTCTACCATTCGTAAGTTCTACTACCTATTTGAATCTTCTCAAATTTGGCCGAAAATGGAAAATCCCTATTTGAAGGTTTTTGTTGGAAATTTTTAGGGTGGAAGATAATAAAAATCGATATTTATTAGACGATTTGTTTTTTCGTATATCAAAATTGTCAATTCTGTTAAATTGGGTCTGCGCTGAAAATATCTGTAGAAACTTGGTCAAGAAATTTTCTGGTTCTAGTTGTAATATACTTAATTTTTATTGGCGTTTTAAATCTTTCGGAATTTAGCCAAAAATAGAAAATCCAATTTCAGCGTTTTTATACAATCGTCCTAGAATCCAAGAAAGAAAAAAACGATATTGGATGGAACTTGATAATTTAGGATTGACAAAATTTTTCTCTTTGAAAGTGAAAATGTGCAAGTTTTCTTTAATCGTGTCTTCACTAAAAATGTGTGTCGAAACTTGGTCAAGAAACCTTGATTCTACAGATAGTATATCTCTATCGATATTTTGAATCTTCACAAATTAAGTCAAAAGTAGAAAATCATCAACATTTCAACGTTTTTGCCATCTTATATGTACAAGTTTTTAGGATCGAAGATACTAAAAAATCGATATTATTAAAATTTTCTTCTTCGAATGTTAAAAAATAAAAATTTTGATAAAAGAAGTCTTCGCTAAAAATGTCTGCGAAAACTTGGTTCAGAAATTTGATTGATAATATAGATTTGACAAAAATTTTCCCTTTAGATGGCAAGATTTACAATTTTACACTTGGTTCCGAAGCTTTTTCGTACAGTTCAAAGATTTTCAAGATAATTTAGTTAAAATAGAAATCGTATTAACTTGAACCCAAAAAGTGAAATTAGTTTAACTGGGTCCTCGCCAAACCATTGCATCCCTTTTTAGACTCTCATCATCTGCCCCCCATTTACAGCATCGTCCTTACCTGGATTCAGGCCATACGAATTTGGAGACAGAAGACCGGAAGTAACTGTAGCCATTGTAGCCAACATCCAGACATCCCTGCAACAAAAACCCCATTAGACTTTCTCCGAAGCATCGTCGCCGATTCCAAAAACAATTAAACCGTCCGTTTCTAATTCCCGCAAGAACCGTGGCCATAAATCACCTCTTCGAAAAGCCTCTGACCCAAATATAATTTTCGCGTTGTTCTCGCTCCGTCTCTGTCTGTCGATTCGTATTCATAGATGACACTTCTTCATATACGAATCGGAAGAACGTGAAGGAATCATGTACACGTCACGTTTCGGTAGAACGTAGGCAAATGCTGGGAGTTAAAGCAGGTCAAACGTAGAAATCCATAGGATGTAATAAACGTTAGCAATGAAACATTTGAAACTTATGGACACGCCCTAATATGAACAGAACAATAACTTAAACAATGCTATAAATATTTATTAGACGCTCGCGGTGTGACACTAAAAATGTTTAATTGCCACGCACGCTGTCTCTGTCTAGGAGTTTGGGCGAGCGGACGCGGATCGGGACGGTAAGGTGGCCACAATTGACAATATTCGCCATTTTTTGGCACTTCCGCATTCCGGGCGTTCATTTTTGTCATGCACATTCGGACTAAATCTAATGCACATATGCGATAAATGCGCTCAGATAAGGCATTAAATCCGATGGATTAAAAAGCGAGAGAAATGGATGCGATAAGAGTAATCAATTTGCAAAAGTAGGAAATTCTTGAGGTGTTATTGCTGGATTTACAGCGGTTTTAATTGTAGCAATTAGAGTTACGTTACACGACGCATAAAGAAAATGGGAGTTGATAAGGTATCGGGGGAGTTTGGTGATTGTGGAAACAATCAAAACACTTCCGCCTATTATCCGACATTAAGTGCTCATTTTCATCTTTAATTCTGTAAACAGGGAGCGGAGGAGATAAATTCGGGCGTTGAAAAATTTAGAAATTTAAAAACCGTCATCGTGTATATTTTATACGTGGAGATACACCGAAATATGGACCCCACGCCTCAAGTCGTCGATTATTCTCCAAATATAACAACGGCAGGTGTGTTAATCAGCTTGCGGAATGAATAAAATAGGAGATACTCAGCTTAATGGCAGAATTCTTGGAAAAGGGAGATTTTGAGAAATACACCGGGCATTGTTTTAGAAGGAGGTGCGACTTTCACTAGTAATATATACATTATTTTGAAAAATTATGCGCAAAAACTTTGAGGAATCCGGAATTCTCCTAAAAAATAAAAAGGTTGGAATAAATGACGACAAAAAACCTGCAACTTAAAAAGCAGTTCTAAATAATAGTGATTATGTCTTTTAAGGCATTTCGTTGTTATAGCGCTTCGGGAACTAACCACAAGTGTGTAATTTCAGCTGTCAAAAAATGGTTTCTACATTCTGAATAATTTAAGTGAAATGTATAAGATCCAGGTACTGAACACAATTTTTGCGGAGTTCAAACACGTTTTAACAGAAAATGATACAAATTTCTGTATTATACATATAATATGACGGAAAAAGAAAGTTCTTGAAATTTATGTTTAGAATACTGATATTTTTTCGATCATATAAAATCAAAAATAAATTTGTACAAAGGGCCCGAAAACAGAAAAAAACTGACAATGGCTATGAAATTTACTGATCACTATTTCAAAAATAAATTCCATGACCTACTAGAAGCCTTTTGTTCGAACAATATACTACAAAAAATTGAGTTCCCATAACGTCACTTTGTTTTCGTGAAAGTTTAATTTATTTAAAATTTCGGCAAGCCGATGTTTTAATTTAAAACCAGTAATTTTGGAACCGCACCGTCGCGTCAAAATTCCTTACCTTTAACCTTCCCACAACTAATTACAACCGCACCATACGATCATTAATCTTCAGGTATGATTTTCCGCGAAAGTGTTAAAGGGAAAGCGCGGTGAAAATTACGCATAAACCGCGGCACCTTGGGTCGCCTGACGCAATCAACGCCTTTTGAAAAAACAGGATCCGGCCCTGTCGTCGCATCCCGGCGAAACAATGAGGGTGATAAATCCATTAATGTCTAAAAGAGGGGCCGTTCGTAAAAAATCCAGTAATATTTCATAGTGCGCGTTCTCTTCATAAAGGAAACATTGAAAGGGATAATTTTTATTTTTTGGGGGTTGTAATACGGACACAGATGGTCGTATGCAAATTTGGAACCCTTGCACTGTGTATACACACCGAATTTAAATAATTCGCTCGATCAAATGTACAGCTCGGAATGAGTAAATGTGGAAACGGGGAGTAGTAAGTTGGGCCACACCATCGAACAGTTGCTCTATAAATCAACTTTTTTAAAGTCGATATTAAAAATTTTTTAGAGCTCCGACGAATTGGAGGAGTTTTGGGATGGAATTAGCCCCTCGGTTCACATAAGAGGATTAGTTTGGACGACGTTTTGGGATGAAAAATTTTCGGGTACTGGTTTTATCGTGTAAGCTGGTGATTTTTCGGGCGTTTATGTCACTGTTTCTTGGATTATTTGTCAGGTGATTTACACAGTGAGAAGAAATTGAGCGTCGAAAATTTGGCCTACTGTAATAATGTAACACTTTCAAAAACACTCAAAAAATCAGGCTTAAAAAAATTCTGCAGGTTTAACATTAAAATGGAAATGCATTTTCTAAAGTTTCCAATTTTAAAATGTTTGTAAATGTCAGATAATTTACACACCGTTGAAAATTTTGCTCGCTTTAATATCTTCAATCGTAAATGAGATATTGTATTTAAAGCTTCTAATACTTTCAGAAACCACAAATTTAATGGTAAATATTACAATATTGGCAGCAATTTACACTCTGTTCAATCGCTCTTTCTATTTTTAAAATTCCAACTCAAAATAGAGAGCTAATTTCAGAAATTGTCTGATTGGCATTCAAATCACCTGATTTTCAGGTCGATTTAGATTTACTCCGATCTTACGTAACAGTTTTTTGATATTTTGTGGTTTTCGATTTGCCGAAAAGGACATGTTTTAGAATTTTCAGGTTTTATGACCGTTATTCTCTGAAAAATTCTGAATTTTCAGATTTCAAGATCGTTTCCCAGGTACTGAAAAATTCTTCCGGTTCAACATTAAATTGGAAAAATTTTGTCCTAATTTTCCAAATTCAAAGCAGGACGCATTTCAGAATTTTCAGATTTCAAGATCATTATTTAAAAAAAATTCTTAAGTCGCCAATTTTAAGAACACGACACTTTCCAGAATTTTCGGATTTCAGGAATGTAATTCTGATTCTGAAAAATTCTACAAATTCAACGTAAAACTGAAACATATTTTTTTAAGTTTCCAATTTTGAGAATATGGTGCCTTTCTGAATACTCAGATTTCACGATCATTTTTCAGGTACTGAAGAATTTTTCAGGTTGAACATAAAATTGGAACATTTTCTCTTAATTTTCCAATTTTAAGACCATTTCAGAAATTTCAGATTTCAAGATCATTATTCAGGATCTAAAAAAAATTGGAGGTTCAACGGAAAATTGTAAAGCAAGACGGTATCTTTAAAAATTTTCATGTTTCCAGACCGTTATTTAGGTCTTGGAAAATTCTGCAGGTTCAGCATAAAATTGAAAATTTTACAGAATGTTTAGGTTCAAATTGTGGAAAATTCGATAGGTTCGGTAACACAAAATTGGCATTTTTTTTTAGTTTCCACTTTTAAAAACAGGACGACTTTCAGAATTTTCAGATTTTAAGATAACTATTCACTTAATCCGGTAATAAAAAATTCTGCAGATTCGACATACATTTGGGAAAAAAATTCTTAAGTTTCCAATTTTAGGGCCTTCCAGAATTTTCGGATTCACATTCATTTTTAAGGTACTGAAAAATTCTTCAGGTTTAACATAAAATTGGAAGTTGTTGACTTAATTTTACAAGTTTAAAAACAGGACGCATTTCAGAATTTTCAGTTCAAAATCATTATTCAGGATGTAAAAATTTTAGAAGTTCAATGGAATATTGTAAAAAAAAATTTTTAAGTTTTAAAAGCAGGACGATACCTTTAAAAATTTTCATATTTCAAGACCTTTACTGAAGTCCTGGAAAATTCTGCAGATTCAGCATAAAATTGTTTTTTTTTTTTTAATATTTCCAATTTTTAGAAAAAAGTCTTCAGTTTCAGATTGTGGAAAATTTGATAGGTTCCATTAATAAAATTGGCAATTTTTTTTTGAATTTCCACTTTTAAAAACAGGATAGCTTTCAGAATTTTCAGATTTCACCACCATTTTTCAGATAGTGAACAATTTTTCAGGTTTAACATAAAATTGGAACATTTTTGCTTCATTTTCCAATTTTAAGAATAGGGCGCATTTTAGAATTTTCAGATTTCAAGATCATTATTCAGGATCTAAAAAAAAATGCAATTTCAAAGGAAAATTGTAAAAATCTGTGAAGGACGGTAAATTTTCATATTTCAAGACCGCTATTTAGGTTCTGGAAAATTCTGCATAAAACTGGAATTATTTTTCCTGTTTCCAAATTTTACAGAATTTTCTGTTTCACATTTTGGAAAATTCGATAGATTCTGTAACATAAAATTTGCATATTTTTTTAGTTTCCACCTTTAAAAACAAGACAACTTTCAGAATTTTCAGATTTCAAGATCATTATTGACTTATTCAAGTACTAAAAAACTCTGAAGATTCGACAAAAATAGGAAAAAAATGTTTAACCTTCCGGAATTCGGATCTCACGAATGTAATTCTGATTCTGAAAAATTCTACAAGTTCAACGTAAAATTGAAAAATATTGTTACGTTGAACGGGTGATTAAAAATCGGCGTGGGTAAACTCAACAATTTTTTCAGATTTAAAAATTTTATTCAGGTTTTATTTAGGTTCTGGAAAATTCTGCGCATTCAGCGTAAAATTGGAATTTTGTGTTCTTAATTTTCCAATTTGAGACCAACAACAGAATACATTTTGGAATTTTCAGATCTCAAGACATTATTCAGATTTTGAAGAATTCTCCAGGTTCAACATAAAATTGGAAATTT